TGCGACCCTTGTCCTCGCTTCCTTCCAAGCTCAAAAAGTACGAAAGGGAAGGTGCGGCCTGGCGAGATGATGGATCTGCGTGAAGCTTGCACTGGGCAGCCTCCTATCGACCACTCCGCCGAGCGGACAGCTCCTGTAGAGGAATACAAAACGGCATAAGCATACACTTTTGGCGGTCCGCGCAGATTTTTGGGGATCCGGAGCGCGCCAGGGGCGGCGCCGGAGGCGCCGGCGGGGGGGCCCCGCGCGGATCCAAGAAATCCGCGCGTAGCGCCCAAAGTTTAAATGTTCATGGCGTTCTTTTTTGTCCTCCGATCCTGGCCAACTCGCGCAGGAGGAGGCGCGAGGAGCAGCAGAGGCGCAACGGGAGAAGGCAAGGGTCTCCCGCTTCGCCGCCGAGGGCGAGCGCGGCCGCTCCCCGCGCCCCGCTGAATCCGCGCCTCGCGGAACCCGCGGAACGCCCGGCTCTCGGAGCTCCCTCGTGCCGCAGCGTCGACCGCGGTGCGCGGGGCGAGGGCCGAGGCTGGGCAGCGGCGGGGCCTCCCGCGCGGGCAGGACCGGTCAGCGTCGACGCGCTGCGTCGCGCCGCAGCGTCGATCCTCCGATGCCGCCCGGAACTGCGCCCCGCGGTCGGGGGGGGGGCCACTGGGCCCAGGCCAGAGGTCACCCCTGCGAGCGAGCACCCTCACGCGGCCCGATCTGGAAACCCTGCACCCCTGAACGCAACAGAGCAGAACACCGCCGTTGCACGGGGGGCGCACCTTTGAACCGCTCCCGCCGGCCTCCGCCGGCGAAGGCGCCACTTTGCTTTGCCGACGCCGCCTTGGCCTTCCGCTGGGGCAGGATGCCGACTCCTCCTGGAGCCCTCGGAGGCGAGGGCCCCTCCTGGAGCGCTCCGCGTATGGGAGGCCTGGACATGGGCACCAACACCAACACAGGAGACTGCCTCCACAAGGGGTGAGATGATCCTAGACTTTGGTGTTGGTGGTAATAGCTCGGCCACTTAGCGAGCCCGAGCATTACCACCATCGCCAACATCGGGAGCATCTTCCCTCGGTGAAGGCACACAGCCGATCTTGGTGCTGGTGTCAACCTCTAGGCCTCCGAACTTAGCTGCCTCGATACGCCCGCTTTGATACGCAACACATGCCGTGCTCAAAACGTACGTGTCAATACGTTGCGTGTTGGCCCACGTTTTGGCAACCGTATCGCGCCAGACCTGCGTTTTTACGTTCTCAATCTGTGTGTGTGTGTGTGTGCGCGCGCGTGTGTGTGTGTGTGTGTGTGTGTGTGTGTGTGTGCGTGCGTGCGTGCGTGTGTGTGTGTGTGTGTGTGTGTGTGTGTTGAGCTCCGTGTCGACACGCCACGTGTTGCGTGTTGTGTGTCGGGGGAGCTACGCCTCCGAGCGCACCGGCTCGTCCGAGCCCTCTTGCGGCGGAGGCTCCCTCCGGAGCGCTCCATGCGCAGCCGCCCTCCGCACAGCGGGGCCGCCCGCGTGGTCATGTGAGGTCCAGGGCGGCAGCGGGGCCGCGCACGGGGGGCCGCGTGGCCGAGCGGCGCGGGGCGGTGGGCGCACCCTCCCCTGGCAGGGCGTGTCCAGGAGCGGCGGGGGCGGGGGAGAGAGTCTCTTCCTCCTCCTCCTCCTCCTCCTCCTCCTCCTCCTCCTCCTCCTCCTTCTCGTCCTCGTCCTCGTCCTCCTCTCTTCTTCCTCCTCCTCCTCGTCCTCCTCCTCGTCCTCCTCCTCGTCCCCCTCCTCGTCCCCCCACAGCCGCAGAGATAGGTATACTACGTGCGAGGAGGAACGCGGGACAATAAACGACAGGGGGCTTACCTGGCCACGGCGAGCCTCGGCCACGAGAGGGCTCTCCGACCCCGCCCTGAGGAGCGGCCCGCACAGCAGAGCTTCTCCGGGGCCCCGGAGGTGGTCCTATAGCAGAGGTGCGGCCACGAGCGAAGGCGAACAAACGGAATAAGCATAAGCTTTCGAAGGCCGAGGACTTCTTCGATTGGCCACGAGCGAAGGCGAACAAACGGAATAAGCGTACGCTTTCGAAGGCCCGCGAGGACTTCTTCGGTTGGCTCGGGGGTAAGGGCTTGACTTGGAATCGGCAGCGCGTCGGTGGTCGATAGCCCTCCGACGGATCGGCGCCGAGTGAGCCCGCAGACGACGCCGACTGCCCCCACGACGCCCCAAGGCGACGCAGAGGGCGACGACGCCGAAAGCGGCGCCGACGACGCCCGAAGACGACGCCGACGGCGACGAAAGCGACGACGACGGCGACGCCGCAGCGACGCCAGGGTTAAGGGAGAACCATAGGGAGGGATGGGCCCATGTGGACTTGGACTCGGCGACGCATCGCCGATAAAGATCGGCGACAGACCCTCGACGGCACTCTTTTTCCTGGCTCCTGGCTCCTCCTCCTCCTCCTCCTGCTCATTCTCATCCTGCTCCTCCTCCTCTTGCTCATGCTCATCCTGCTCCCAGGCGGGGTGCGCTGCCAGGTGGGCGATCACTTGGCGTGAGGGGGTCGATGCTGCCCCTCCTGTGGCCAGGCCTTCCCTGCCGGCGCCCCCCTCTCTTCGGGCCATGGCTCGGCTCTCCAGAGGCCGCTCGGAGCGATTCGGGCACCCACGGACCGTACGCCCTCAAAAAGGCGCAGCTGCTGGGAAGCATCCCGAAGGGTGCAACACCGGAAGGACCTGAAGAGGAGGCAAACCTAAAGGGTGCAAAATGGCGCAAAAAGGGTGCAAAAAAGGGTGCCAAAGGGGTGAGACCTGAAGAAGAGACAAAAAAGGGTGCAAAAGGGTGCAAAACCTAAAACCTGGGACTGGAGTGCGCCGACGGAGGCACAAAGGCCTGGGCGTCTGGGGAGGGCGACTGGTCCGCGTCCCTACCGCGCTGGCCCAGAAGCGGAATGACCACGCGACGGGAGGCTGTCACGGCCCGAGGGCCACCTCCGCTATCACAGCCTGGTCCTGAGATCCAACGTCGCGAAAAACAAATGCCAACCTCCTGAAAAATCATGACCGGGGCCCTAGACCTTCGTGGGCCCAGGGAACAGCAAGGCCGAACGACGAGGCCCCGGAAACACGTGTGTCTTGACCATGGAAACGGTCAACAAAACGGCAACCCGAAACGGCGAACACGGCTCCCGAATTGGAACTGGAACCGGCAAACAAAAAGGCGCAATAACCGTAACAAAAACGACACTGTCGTTTGCAGGGCCCACTGGGAGACCCGTTCTTTCTGCTTCCATTTGCGAGCCAGACCGATCTGTGAGGGTCCCAGGGCCTGAAACTAGGCGAAACCGCCTGGCGTGCAAAAAAAGCAACGCCGCTATTTCAGGGACCACAACATACTGGAATTACAACCCCATCCTGTCCCGTCCTATCGTGACCCCCGAGGCGGGGCCTGACCCCTCCTCCCCCGAGCCTGGTGGGAAATGAGAAGAAGAAGGTCTTCTCAAAAGGCTCGGAAGTCCCCCAGTCTTCTGAGAGCCTCCTGAGCCTTCCCCGAAGACACAGACAACCTCTCAGAAAACGCGAGGGCTTCTGAGAAGTCCCGCCGCCTTCTAAGAAGGCCTTCTCCCGCTTACTTCTCACGCAGCCCCGTCTCCATATCAGGGAGGCGTCGTGACCGAAACTGTGTCCAAATCTCTGCCCAGACCGAAACTTGTGCCCGAAGATTTACGGCCGCGCCCGAGTGTGACCGAGATGTTTGGCTCGAAACCAAGATAACCTTCAGTTTCGGTCGCAACTTCGGTCACACTAAGTCTTCGGTCGCAACTTCGGGCACGTCTTCGGCCACTGATTTTTGTCCGGTCCCCCACCTTTTCGGCTGATCGGGGCCGGGTGCCATGACACTTCCCCCCCCTTCGCTCGCAGCCGAAGGGTCCCCCTTCCTCCTCCTCCTCCACATCCTTTTAGCCCGCGGGGCGGGGCGCCCCCGGTGCCACGCGGGCGAGGACCCAGAGATCCGGCGTCTGGACTTCCGAATGCGCGGCCCCCCAAAGGCCCTAATTACGCCCTTCCTGCCCAAGAGGCAATTTTTTTCCGTCGTGGGCCTAGCTGCCCCGCCGCGCACCACGCAACGCGTGGCGTGTTGACGCGGAGCTCAGCACGCAGACTGAACACGTACGCCTGGCGCGATACGCTCGCCCAAACGAAGGGCCCACACGTGCCGAGCCAGCACGCGGCGTGCTGCCACGGACGCTCTGCACACGGCACGCGCTGCGCCTCAAGACGGGCCTGTGGGGGCAGCTGAACGCGTGGATCGTGCAGCCTCGACCTCCTCCTCCTCCTCCTCCTCCTCCTCCTCCTCCTTCCTCCTCCTCCTCCTCCTCCTCCTCCTCCTCCTCCCCCTCCTCCCCCTCCCCCTCTTCCTCCTCACCGATCCCAAAGCGGAGGCCCCCGAAGTCTGTATGCGTACCCTTCTCTCGTCGTGGGCAGAGGTCCTGCCGCCCCACGCGCCCTGCTGTGAGGGCCCCCGGAGGCCGAAGACCACGAAAGACGCCTCGACTTTGCTTGCAGGACGTCTGCTGGAGATCTGGTGACGGCGGCGCCCGACTCGCCGCCGCGAGGGCAACGATCCGCCGACGCCGCCGCCGCCGCCGACGCCGCCGCCGCCGCCGCCGCCGCCGCCGCAACGATCTGCCACTGCCGCCGACGCCGCCGCCGACTGCCGTGGAGGCGGCGCCTGCCGCCGCGCCCGCGGGCGAGGCCGAGGCCGGCGGCCCCGCGGAGCGCCGGCGCTCCGGGCTCTCCGCGGCCTCGCGCGCGGGGCGGGGGCCATCGCGGCCGCGTCGGCGTCGGCGTCGGCGTCGTCGTCGGCGCCGTCGTCGTCGTTAGACGTCGTCGTCGTCGTCGGCGTCGGCGTCGTCGTCGTCGGCGTCGGCATCAGTGTCGGCGGCGGCGGCGGCGTCGTCGTCGTTGTCGTCGTCGGCGGCGTCGGCGTCGGCGTCGGCGTCGGCGTCGGCGTCGGCGTAGGCGTCGGCGTCGGCGTCGGCTTTCTGGAGGCCGTTCGGGACGGCGCAGATTTCAACGACAAGTGCGCGACTGTACCCGTGGCTGGCGCAGGGTTCTACCGTGCGCCGCGCTCCATCGCCGCACTCCCGCCAGAACCTCCTCCTTCTCCTCGGGCAGGGGCCGGCAAGAGCGCCACTGCGCTGCAGATGGATCTCCGCCAGAAGGGCGGCCGCGAGCATCACTCCCTTGGAGAAGCATTCGGCTCCAGAGCGTTAGCGTCGTCGTCGTGATCGTCGTTGTCGTCGTCGTCGTTGTCGTCGTCGTCCACCAGGGTCGGCGGCACCGACCGTAAGGCCTTTGCAACAGATCTCCGCCAGAAGGGCGGCGGCCGCGGATCATACCGCACGCGCCTCTGCGAACGCCTGTCTCCGCGTCGGGTACGGTGGGTGCTCTCACGCATGTCGCCCACGATTGAGCAGGGACTGACCGTCCCGGCATGCCTCAAGGCCTATCGCGGCATGTTCCTTCTATAGAAGGAGGTTGTTCTATGAGCCATACATGTTATCATGGCATGTCGTGCAAACCGCGCAAGGTTCTCATAATATTCTGTGGTGGGCCATAGGCAAGCCAGGACGCTTCGCCACTGCTTGACATGACAGCATGCCGCATCGGCTTCGTGTTCATACCCCGCCTGGTTCAGGACACCAGCTTCAACACACGCCACAGGCTGTGGGCTTGGTCCCAACTCACGTAGCCGCCCTCCAACCAGCGCTCTCCCTCGAAGCCCTCTCGCGAGTGGAGGACGCGCCAGTTGTCGATCACGCTCATCTCGCCAGGCTGGAGCTTGATGTGCACAGCGTTTTCCGGATCCTCCAGGAAAATCTCGTACCGGGACAGCGCGCGGTAGAAGCAGTCCACGTCGTCGACATCGTCAGTCTCTCGCCACTGGCTCCTGGGGGGGGGGCCGGCTCAAGGAGGGAGACGTCGACCTGGAATCGGCGATACATCACCGATCGATCTGTGATGACCCCCCGAGATAGCGGATCCGCATGTTCCCCCGGTCGGTCGGGGTTGGGCCAACGGGCCCCGATTGGCGACGAGGTCGGTGCTCCCCCCCCCCCGAGCCGACGCCCCCCTGACGCTGCCCCGGAGCTCTCCAGGAGTCCCGCGCCCGCTCGTTGAAGTGGACCTCAGGAGCAGCAGAACGCTGCGTACTCCAGATTTCGTCATAAATAGGGAGGGGGGTCTCATTTGGGGGGGGGGTTCTTCCAGGCGATCCTTCGACCCCATCTACTCCAGAGTTCGTAATAAAAGGGAGGGGGTCTGGACCCTCCAAGACGAGCCATTTCAGACCCCCCCTGTGGGAGAACCCTCCAAAACATCGTCCCCAGACCCCCCCAGGCCCTCCAAGATAGCCTGGAAGAGACCCCCCCCCGAAATGACACCCCCCTCTCTTTATTACGAAATCTGGAGTAAGCATCTTGACCTGGACGTCTAAACTCCCGTCGAGGTTCCAGGCAGTCCAGCTGGGTCTAGAAGTCTTGATGGTTATTTGTTCTGCACTCTGGAAGGTCAGGGTTCCCCCATCAATGGCTACATGCTCCGCCGCTCCCCCACTCCCCCAACGCGCCCCCAGCGATGCAGGGCGGCCCAAAACCTGTCGGAAAAGGCAAGACGGCATACGCATATGCTTTCGGAGGTCCGCGCGGATTCCTTGGATCGGGGCTGGAAACCCCCTGCCTGACGCGCGGAGCGCGCAAGGGACGGCGCTGGAGGCGCCGCCAGGGGGACCACAGCGCCGATCCGAGAATCCGCGCGGACCTCCCGACTTCATGTTGATTGCGAGGCGGGCATTGCTCCGTATCCATAACCTGGGGAACCGACGTCCTGCATGGGACCCCAGCGGGCGGTGGACATGGATGTACGTTGGCGGTGGATATGGATATGAGGATACTCGGGCCTCCTGGCAGGAGGCCCGAATATTCTCATAACTATCCGCCGCCGGTCGAGGTCATCGAAGATCGATCCATAAGGCCGTGCTTATGGATAAATCCACGCCTCGGATTTGTGCCTTTTGTTCTGCCCCGGTGACCCTCGTCACCGTGCCGTTGCTCCCGAGCTCGAGCAGCCGGTGCTCGGCGCGCAACTCCCAAGCCGGCGTGGAGTCCTGGAACCGCACCGCGCGGGAGCTCAGCTCCGCGAACATGTCCGGCTCGGCGGCGCGGAGCTGCTGCGCCGCGGCGAAGCCGTCGGCGAAGACGTTGCCCCCTCCGAGGCGCGCCTGCTCGGGTGGTGGGGGGAAGCTGGGGGGCTCCTAAAACAGGGCTAGGATCGGGATAAATCGCTCCAGAGCGTTCCGGAGCGCTCTCAGAGCGTTCCGGAACGCTCTGGAGCGGCCGGGGCGCCCAGTACATCCTCCAAACCCGCCGATTTTCAGAGATTTCGAGTTATCCCGATCCGATTTTGTCCCGATCTTCGCGTCGTTTAGCTCCGGGGGGGGGGGAGTTTCGGGTTCGAAGTCCGAGGTTTTCGCTGGTCTTCCCGCTTCGGGCTCATGCTCCAGGCGCCTCGCCAGGGGCATGCCGGCGGTGCCCAAGACCGCCCCGAGCGGCCGCCAGAAAGCCGAGGCAGGACCCTCAAACCACAGGAGGGGGGGAGCGAAGGATCGGCTTGCGTGGCTGATTTTCCTGGCGCCAGAGGCGGCAATGCATCGAGGAAGGCGCCCTGCGGTGGGGCCGAAGCCGGCTGCATACGGCAGATCTCGAACTTGAGCACCCCTTTCCCCGTATTGCCCCGTTTCGTCCGGCCGGACCTGCTGAATGCAGTGGAAAAGCTGGATTGCCGGTGGGACGTCGTAGTACGGCAGGTCTGTATGCAGCTGCAGGCCCAGGTTGGAGTAAGCCAGATTGTTCGGCTCGGAGCGGGTCCTGATCGTGAAGGTCTGGCCATACGCGGTTGGCAAGACGTAGCCGAATATCGTCTCTGCGAACTGCTTGAGCGCCCCTGGTTTCGCAGGCATGTTCTTGACAAGCGCCACGCCGTCCCTGTGAAGGGCCTCTATCCAATTCCGAAGGGCCGTTCGCTCAGTTGGCGACACGAAATTTAGGATACCCTCCGACGCGGAACCAAGGTCGACGTCCTGGCTGTTCCGCCGAACCATTTCCAGTGCGGAGAAATCAAGTGCCCCCGCCCGCATTGTCTCGACAAAGTTCTTGCGATCCTCAGGCCAAGACTGCTTAGGTGCTTGGGCGATGTCGCTATCCACAGCGCTTCTGCCAGGCGGCATCGCGAAAGAGCCGACTGCACCATCTTCGAAACGGCACTCGACCCCGCCATCGTCTCCAGTCTGCTCGACACTCCCCTGAATGTCGGGCGATACGCCGAAGCACAAACGTTGCCGAGAGCTGGCGTCCCACGACTTCTCGTCGAGCAGATTTTCGCGAACAAATCGGGGATGGAACTTATAGCCGCCGATCCTCATCGAAGCTGCAGCCGTGGAAGCGCCGCGCAACCGTGCACGACAACGCATGCTGCATGTTGGAAACCTCGACACGCGTCGATGGTCCAGGAGGCGGCGTGCAGACCCGGCCCGCATCGTGACGCGTGCTTGAACCAATATGGCTACGGAACTGACGGCTTGCAACCTTGATTGGCGGCGCGCACAAGGGGGTGGGGGGAGGGGGGAAGGCTTCTCAGAAGCAAGCTGCTTCCTAGAAGGCGCCGGCCTTACATCTATAGACAAGGCCCGCGCCGTCTAAGAAGCAGGGGTGCTTCTAAGACGCCCTCCCTCCTCCCCCCACCCCCCTTTGCGCGTGGCTGACTTGAGCGCCCGCGCTGGGGGTTGCCGCCGCGCCAGCGTGAGCGACGATCAACAGGGGGTCTTGCGCGAGATGGCACAGCGACCTCACGCGGCGGACTACGCGGGCCGCTCCCGCGCGACCCTACGCGGGCACTTCCCTGATTTAACGTGGGGGGGGGGCTGCGCTGGCGAAAATGATCCCAAGGCCAGATTCTCGGGCCGGCGGAAATTACGATGCCCAAGGGCTGGCGAAAAGTATGCCGCGTTTCAGGGTCGCGGCTAACCACGGTGACGGTGATACTACTGAAGACCACGGTGTGGCGATGATGAACAAGAGGATGTTGTGTTGGTGACGATGGCGCAAGGAGTAGGGTTAAGTATGCAGATCGCGAGGGTGGTTGATAATGGCGATGACGACGATGATGATGCTAATGGTGATGACGGTGATGGCCATCAACCTTGTGACCATGATGTGCTCATAGGCGCCGGCGAAAATTGCGCCTGTATGTCGCCAGGGCTGGCGGGAAATATTCCTCGGAACACAACGCCGGCGAACATTATGTTGGGGCCCGAATCGCGACCGGTGAATATTACATCACCCACGTTAAATCAGGAAAATCGAATACGCGCCAATGTCGGCACAGACGACCCCGTTTGTTCGGAGGCAACTACTGGGAGGTCTTTCTCGGACGGAAAGAATAAAACAAATATTAAGCACCCATTGGGGCTACTACGCGGGATTAGGCCGCGGATTAAGCGGGACTAAGCCGGATTAAGCGGGAACGAGGCGGATTAAGCCAGATTTCGGACCCAGGATAATCAGAATTTTACCTCGCAGGAGTTGCATCCGAGCTTTTGTTTGCGTCGCCCTCGTGGCGCCAAACAGCCAACAAGACGAGGCTAGGACGAGGCCAGCTCCGAATCGAGATGCATCGGCTGACGGATGCAGAGAATGGGTGCCGGGCGCCGCGGGCGGTGCAGAGAGCGCTCCGCAAGGCTTCGGAGAGCGATTTTTATCCGTACCCTGTGCCAATACAGGCTCGGATCGAATGGCGGACATCAAAGAGGGGGGGGGGTACGACCCTCGCGGGGCAAAGAGGTTCCCCCTCCCTCCTCCTCCTCCTCTTCCTCCTTCTCCTCCTCCTTCTCCTCCTCCTCCTCCACATACACATACAGTGGAGGCCCGTCCACAAGCTGCCGCAAGAAACCCAACCCTGAGACCCCAGCACGTCCACTGATTTCTGTTGTGAGAGCGTCACGCCTTCTACAGCAGAGCCACCAAAACCCAAAAAACCCAGGGCACCCTGAAGGCAAACAAGGAGTCCTTGGCATGGGCCTCCCCCGTGTGCCCTAGGCTCGGATCGGAGGGAGTGGCGGGTATCAATAGGGGGGGGGGGGCGGGTAGCTAGGCGGGTATCAAGCAGGGAGGCGGGGTAGCTTTAGGTCTGGCATGTCCCCCGACAGGGGCATTCCTGACGCAAAATTTAGCAAAAATAAAAAAGTCAAAAAATACGCAGAAATAGCAATAATTCCTAAACACATCGTCCCCATATTATTGTTCTGCTTATTTCTGCATCTTCCTCCTATAGAGGGACACGCCCGACGTGAGGGCAGCTGGCAGGCTGGCGCGGCCGACCCTTCCCGGCGCCCGGGTGGGGCCCCGCGTGTCGGGGAGGGCGCGCCCAGGCGGCGGGGCCGAAGCCGGCGGGCCGGGCCCGGAATGCCCGGCGCCCGCGCAGGGGCTCATGAGGCGAGCGCGCGAGGGGGAAGCAACAAAAACACACTGTGGGACAAACACGCACACACAAACAAACACACACACGCAGTGGGAAAACACACACGCACACACGCACACACGCGCACACGCGCACACACGCACACACGCACACACGCACACACGCACACACGCGCACACGCACACACGCACACACGCACACACACGCACACGCGCACACGCGCACACACATACACACGCACACGCGCACGCGCGCACACACGCACACACGCACACACGCACACACGCACACACGCACACACGCACACACGCGCACACGCACACACGCACACACGCACACACACGCACACGCGCACACGCGCACACACATACACACGCACACGCGCACGCGCGCACACACGCACACACGCACACACGCACACACGCACACACGCACACACGCACACACGCACACACGCACACACGCACACAAGCACACACGCGCGCACACACGCACACACGCACACACGCACACACGCACACACGCACACACGCACACACGCACACACGCACACA